TACTAATGTTCCAGCTGACATGTAAATTATTACTTGAAAGACCAATTTAGATTGGAAATCAAAGGGAAACTTGAACTCAGTCTGTAAGCATCTGTTAAAATCTTATTATCACAAGCACAGAAAAACAAAAAGTTTGGAATGTAGTGTCCTATTTTTCTGAGTCTAAGGGCAATAACTTTTGTGAAAATAAGTCAATCCACATGAAACTCAAACTTGACTTTTAAAAAAATATCAGCTCATTATCTCAATACCCAGCCCAGCAAATATTTTCAAATCATTATGATGAAAAAAGGAAGAAAAAGGGTACCCTTGCTATTTAAGGGGTGGGGGCATAAAAACTATCTCTCAGCATTTGGCCTACACTGCTCACCTGTTGTGGGGGAACATTAAACGCCTTAATTTTCATGTCCACTTTTCTGCAGTTATCCACACATGGTAAAATAAAAACTATCCCTGTAAAAAGAATTTGTTGCAATATTGTCTGAGGACAAAGGAAACATGATAATCAAATGACGATATCATTGCTAAATGTTCTGCTAATGTGCATATGGGCAAATATATAGCTATTGTAAAACGAGAATATTTGGCGCACTACTAATTTTAGCGCCTTTGGCGCAAGAGCCCCTGAGCGCTAAAATTTATTGTGCGCTAAAGGATTTCTAAATATCATTTTTTGTGTGTGTTAAAAGCTTTTACATAAGTACATGAAAACCGGAACGCACGATTACATGATGTCGAAGGGTCATTGGATTTTATATACACACTAGTACTGCACATGTTCAGAAGACAGCAAGTTCTGCAAAATTACAATAAATTAAACTGTTGTTACCCCAGTAGTTGTTACACGATTATTATCATTAGCACCTTCAAAGTTTGGCTTCTCGGCGTGTCAATCATCAAACAATGCAATCAAGCATGGCGATTGAGCTTGCAGACAATACCTGATTAGGATTACCGTTTTATCGAAGTAATTTTCTGTCGATGCATGCATTGTTTTAATATGATTTTAAATGAGTAAATACTCCATTTCTTAAAAAATTAATATTTTATAACATTGTGCCACGTCCATGTGATAGCAACACGTACCGCGGTAAAGTTAACGAATGTTTACTGATATACGGGAATACTAATGTGTTTCCGTGCTTGACTAACCAAAAAGTCAAATACGGATGTGGAGAGAAAAAAAACAAAATATCATTTATATATTTTTCTGAAAAGTGCAAGCGCTAAAATTTATTTGCGCTAATGCATCCTCACTTGCATTTGCGCTAAAATATGTATGAGCCAAATTTTCTCGTTTTACAGTATCTCCTCAAAATAATTTTCACAATATTCATTACTACAGGTGCTTCCTGTTGTGAATTCATTTCTTGTTCTTTCAAAGAGAATACAAATGATTTCTTTTAATTTCCAAAAAGCTGTATAATTAAAAACAAAGCAAGTAATATTTCTTACCAGGACCTTTAATCTCTACAAGTCGTCCTAGACGGAATATGGCAATCCTCTCATATTGTCCAAGTTTCTGAAATATAAATCAATTTAAAAGTTTCAATATGAACACTTTCAATTTGTTAATAACCTTGATTAATATTTCATACCTTTGTCTGGATTTGTAAATCTGTATTGGGTCTTGTGAACTCCTTTTTTTTTTTTAACACTTAATACATGTAAATACAGTACATGTATTTTAATTTTATTAAATGATAATTGAAATGTATACATTTAAAAATTGTTTTTTTAATGGTCAAAATATCCAATGCATTCCTGTGAACCATAAACCAGCGTTTATCTGTGTGTGAGAAATTTCTGCAAGTTTGGCAACGTTCTTTATCTTGCAAATACTAATCGCCACAAACTATACATTTTGATTTGTATTGTAAAGAATGTTTCCTCAGTCATGAAAATTAATCTTCAAGGATCAATTTCAAACTCACAAATCACAAAAAAAATATTACTGTGGAATCATTTTTATTCATGGGATCAATGTTCGTGGGTAAGCAAAATTTTACCTGTTTGTGGGGATGTAATTTCTTGGGTTACTCGTAAATAAGATGGTTCAGTGAATCAATATGCAAACAAAATAAACATTCGTGGGGATGCTAATTCGAGAGTAAGGGTAACCCACAAACAATGGTCCCCCACGAACAATGATGATTCCACAATGGTTCATTTACAGTATAACACTTTATTATTATACAAGTATCCATGTAGATTATACTACATGTACATGTACTTATGGCAATCATACACCTCAGGTATATGTAAAGATAAAGAGACAGATTAATAATTTGAAATGTTTTTATTTTTTCTTATCTGTAATTGAGATCCTTACCCTGAAGCAAAACCAGCCACTGACAGGAAAGGTTAGGATCAGTAGCAGGATACAGCAGGCAGTCAGGAACAGGTGACACACTCGACCAATCAAAGGCTGCTTCACTGTAAACACAAGGAATACATGTTACTATATACAGAACCAGCCACTGACAGAAAAGGTTAGGATCATGTGCAGGATACAACAGACAGTCAAAAACAAGTGACACATTCGACCAATCAAAGGCTGCTTTAAATTATTAAATGTGGCAACATACTTTGAAAATACTATACTCTTTAAAAAAATATTAATCCAAAAAAAGTAACAGTTGGTAAATCTGGTCAGTTTAGTACATGTACTATTCATAAAATCTTGTGAAGACTTCATTTTCTATTAAACATCCATTTATATACATGTACCTTTACCTCTTGTAAACTGAACATCATCCACATAGCGGGATTCTGTAAAGCTGAATGCTGATCTGTATTTGTTAGGGTTGATTGGAGCAAACTGGTTGTCCGCGCTGGAGTAGTTAAAGGTGGAAGAGAAATCAAGTCGCACATCGTCCACCTGGTCTGATGTGGGCAGTCTCATGTATCGGGCTGACATTGTCAGTTAGCAGATATGCAACATCTTGAAAAATATTTTTTATTATTATTTTAGTTATTCTAGGAATTTATTGGCATAAATTGGGAATCCTAATCGGAACTCGTCATAATTGAAAGTTAAAATATAAATGATTCAACATTGCAGAAGCCCTTAGGGTGTTCTAATTCATACAAACTTCAATCTACTCTACTGGGCATTCTTCCATATACATGTGAGTATAGTTATAGAGAGGTATCTGTATATACTTTTTGTTCATTTACGAAATAAAATGTCATGGGGAGCGCCTATGGACAAGTCAAAAGATAAAGAAGAAATTATCATACCTCTTAAAGTCTTTTAACAGTTTTTAAGGAATTTCCATTCTGTTGCAAAATAATTAATATCCCAGCTTCAAAGATAAAAGGCTAAAGTTAATTTAGAAAACCGTATGCATATGACAAGAACTAATTCAATATCCTAAAACGACTAATTTCGAAATCAACAAAATATGCCGAATTTCATATAGGAAACGATGGGTGGAAGCTAAAATTAGAAGTTAACGTAAAGATAAAAAAAATCCGGAAAGGTTTATCCATCAGGAAAATTTAAAGCATAGTATAATTCGTTTTATATTTTAATAAAAATATACAATTTGTTATTATAAATTCAATTGATATAAGAAATTGTTATTTTGTTTATCATTTTTTAAACAAACATAATACTTTAAAATTGGAGTGGAAAATGGGGATGAGGTTACGGTACATAATGATAATCTCAGCGAGATGTCGTAGGGGCTAAAATATTTGGTCGGACGTCCACTACGACGTAGTGGACGTCCGACCAAATATTTTAGCCCCTACGACATCTTGCTGAGATTAGTACGTACATTGTAGCTGCAGATTTGTAGCTCTCCGAAAAAAAATACATTGATAGACCAGTTTCGAAGAGCTACAGATCTGCAGCTACGTACATTGTTAATGATGTTTTTGAGTGTTTTGTTTCGTCGAATAATCTTTATGTGGTTCTTCTTCAGTATAAAATATGTCTGCCATACCTTTAAAATTGTATCCTAAATAATTTTATACAAAAATCATTCCCAATGGTTTACTGAGTAGGCCCCACAGTGTGGTGTTGGACCTGACTTTGAGATGTTGGACTGCTCAGGGTGGGCGGAGTCAGCTATCCGTTGGGAGTTTGACAGCACTGCAGTAAGGGTAAAGGAAATCTGCATCATGATGCGTCAAAATAAAAAGTGAAAGGTAAAACTAAACATTTATTGACTGTGTTCTCAGACAAAAGCATTTTGTCGACTCCTTCGGTCTCGAATCCCCCCCCCCCCAAAAAAAAGCAGTTTGGTTCTTGGGTCCGACAAAACAATGGTCAGTTTGCCTTCGAACACAGTCCGCAAATAAATTTGCACTTTTCTTAACCATACTAACTTAGTGGAAATATTTCCAAATATTTCCAATGCAGACTGATAAACGAACACATGAAATTGGATAAAATCAAGAAAAATAAAATAAAAATTCCATCATTATGGTTTTATTTACTCTTGGCAAGAGAGGATGCTAAAAGCTAAGACAACCGTATAAGCATCGGGAGTGAAAGGTATATGTAAATTAGCCAAGGCTAAGCAGTACATAGAACTATTTCTGGGAGCTGATCCAGGATCATATATTATTAGACAGAAAGGGGACCGAGTGCCTTTAGAGAAGGTCAAGAGCAAAGTTTCCGTAAGAAAGTAGAAAGATCCGTAATTTCAAATACTGTAATTTCTTTATCTTTATTTTTTTTCAATATAATAATATATTTATTCACTAATCAAGGGCCCTCGGGGGGGGGGGGGGGGCATAAAAAATATATGATAACCAAAAACATATCGTTTGTGTGTGTGTGTGGTGGGGTGGGGGTGGGTAGGTGGCACCGAGAACGTCCCGCCTGAATCCGCGCCTGGTTTCACATTCTAGTGACTTCTGTTGATATGAAGTATATTTAGATACTAGTATTAATTGGTGTCCTATGCAATATATCATCTCCAGGTGCTCTTAAATGGCATCATGCAGTTCTATTTGCTCTACGATCCTCTACATCATGTAATCAAATGCAATTTCTTTTATGTGCATTATATCAAAGTCGACAATAGAATTAGCACATTATATGCGCGTGCAAAAAGTATTCACTAATAACTGAATAGCAACATCGTATGTTTGTTGATGAATACATAATATAAACCCACTTTAAAAAACATTTATTAAAAAAAATAGTAATTACAACAAATAACTTTATGATTATGAATGTCTATTTAATACATGTATATAGGGGGAAAACGTTAATGTTACAAAAAATCAAGCTTCATACAGTTTCATGCACGACACTAGTCACGACTATAAAAACAAATGAAAAGCTAAAATACATATAATATATAAGGTCCATTGATACTCTGATAAGGGAGATAACTCTACATTACATAAATGTTTATTAGGCCATCCTTAAAAAAAATTGTTTGGAATTGCCGCCTGGAGGATTTCAGACACAGGAGGGAGGGAGGGAAATTATTATTTTTTTTAATTGAAGATAAATTTTGAATTTTTGATAAAAATCTCAGTAAACAGTAAATTTATACATTTTCTGACTTTTTAAAATAGTATCTACCATCAACAAAAAAAACCAGAATTTTACATAGATCTGACACTGTATTTCAGTGTTTTGTATGGTGCATTTGATACATGTAATGGGCATAAAAATTGATTAGATAAAAAAAAAATCTTCCTACTTTTGGTCAATAAAATTTTTACAGGAGGGGGCATTTCAATGAGGCGGGAGGCAACTCCAAACAAACTATAATTTTATTTTGGCCCTATTGGATATTCCTTTATGAATTTGTCAAGTTTAAATGTCTTTTTAGTTTAATTTTGCCTTGATAGCTATGATCGATATAATTGCTTTTATTTTACTTTTAAAATACATTTCCTTCAGAAAATCATAAAGTAGTAGAATTTACAATTTATTTTGCGCGGAGGGCAGTCAGGGCACATGTACACGATATCTGAAATATAATAAACTGGAGTTGGTAAATTTACAGCTAATTTTGAAAGCGGGTTCATTGGCCACACGTATATACAGTTATTGTTAAGGCCATTGAGATTAGACTAAAAGGAATAATGTTATAGATTCTGATTTTGCAAAATTGCTGAAGATTAATTTACAAATCTCAAATTATAAGGTGACGAATGTATTTCCGACAAATCACAGTAAATATATCGAAAAAGAATTATTGCTTGAATTATCTTAGAGATTTAGAATTATCGAGAGAGAGAGAGAGAGAGAGAGAGAGAGAGAGAGAGAGAGAGAGAGAGAGAGAGAGAGAGAGAGAGAGAGAGAGAGAGAGCAGTTAAGCTACAATTTTAATTTACTAGAGTAGTCAAAAATCTGAATAGCGCGTTGCTTGACCGAGTAACTCGAATGAGAGAATACTTTGGAATGTTCAGATAATTATTTATGTAGATGTGTTCAATTTGACATACATTCAGTAAATGTTTATTTTTCCCTAGAGCCGAAAGGATTTCTTTCCTTCATCTTTCAAGATGAAATCCTATACTTATTAGTTTGCAAAATTTGTCCACAGATTAATCTAACATATGGCATGGAATGCGTTTAATTATGTATATACTAACAAAACTTAGGTGTTGTCACGGCTTGAATCTCAGTTCAAAATATATACATTAGATCACTTAATTAGAACACGATAGATACAAAAATTGAATGAATGGAAAGATCGAGGAATATTATATAGACCTCTGTAAACCACAGGTGCTAATTTGCTACCATTAAGTGTGTTTTAAAAAACTTTATCGTTACAAAGAAACAGCGTCAATCACCGCATCTATTTATATAGGTAAAATATACCGTCGATAAATCAACGGAGGCTGTAAGCACCACAGAGGTTCTCTTTTTGAAGTATTGACGAGATTTAGCTTCGGGAGGGGGAACCTGCTAGGGATTAAGATTAACAGACAGGGGGAAAAAGACAGATGTGTTCCCTGCCGTGAATCTTCGATATACCTTTGTCTTTTTCAAGCGAGGTGAACAATCTTGGGAGTGCAAACATTTTTCCCAGAAGCAGGTAAGAGCGCTTTTTTAAAAGTTACCTCGATGAAGCTCGATATTTTATAAGCGAATTTTAAGCAATTAGAATATACGTGTATGTTGGTTTATAGAACTTTATAGAAATGGAGTAAACTTTCATTTCTTGGCATTTTTACGATTTCATGTCAAAAATGAGTTTTGAAAAACATCTTGGAAATATGACGAGTGTCTTATCAATATTCTGTGGTCAGCTCGGAAGACCTTTGCGATAATTTGAATATTAGAGAATAACGCGGTTTAATTGTTTTCTCAGAGAGGACTACATATGATAATGGAATATGCCTGTGTCCTATCCATGCATTTATGTATTATAACGATCGACCGAGTTGCATATTAAAAAAATAATTAATATTGAATTAAAGTTGGAAGTTTACTGGTATCATTTAAAAAAGGTATAAATTTTGCATTGTTTATATACCACCTGGAACAAAATAACTTATTCTTCTATCGGGCTTTCAATTTTTTGTTTATCAACTTTGTTCAATTTCAATTGCTTAAAAATGTAATTTTTTCCCGCAGTCGATAGCTCAGTTCAACGCTTAATTCGATCAATAGAATTTTGTGATATAACTACCCCATAATATGTTATAGAGTTTTAGAAAGAAATAAAAGAAATGATCAATTCACTTTATAATTAATAAGTCTTTATTGCTAAAATAGGAAACTAAATGAAAAATAACATTTAGTCGATAAAAAATCTATATATCAAATGCGTCGTGCAGCTGGAGGTACATGTATACAGTAGCTATCCAGACAGGTTATACCATCGTTGTTGATATAAGGCTCTGCAGTGGAATCAAATATACAACGATACGAATGAGTAACAATATGTATTGAATAAGTATTGGAAATGCTGCTGCCCTTTATTACTTAGTACAACGAAATAATTTCTCAGTGTTATATGGTTCGGTTCTTATTGCTAGTGATCCTAAAAATGAAGGGGGGGGGGTAATATTATAGGATTAAACGTTCTTTTTTCAGAATTTATCGATGTGTGAACTCTGCCTTTTTACTCACAAACTGAATAAAAGTGCGAAATGTAAAGTTTGTGATTAAAAAGACAGAGTTTATACATCGATAAATTTTAAAAAAAGAACGTTTAATTCTTAAAATTGCGATTACGAATTTTTAAAATTATTAAAATTATTTCTCTTTGAGGCCGCCATACATTTCGTTATTTTGTACGGCGTAGGAATACTTGATACCGCAAAGAAACGTCAACAAGATGTATGTCGATAAGATCCAACTTAAATTGTCAAAACAATCGATCTAAACTTATTAAAACTTATCGAATGTTGTTTAAGTCAACAAATATCGCAAATACGCGTATTCTTCAGAATAATTCGTCCTTGACCATGGCTATGTTGA